TGGGGGAAAAAGTACACCAGGGGGAGAAAGCCACACCATAATTCTTTTCGATTCTTTTTACTCAAAAGAACTTTCTTTTTTATTTATAAAATAAATTCAATAAAAACGGTGTTTTTGTGTGATTTCGGAATCGTGTTGATTCAAGTTTTATTATTTTTGATAAGTATTTACTACCTTTATAAAGTTCTAAAATATTTAAATTTTTCCTAACCAACAAATTTAAATTTACATCAATTAAAAATAATGAAGAAATATTTCGCAATATATATGAAAAATTATGATAAAAATGTGATATAATCAAGACAAACTTTGGCAATTATCATCGAATGATATTTCAATTATCAATTACAGTAATCATATTTTTTATTAATCTGTATACTATTAGTATTAATACATTGATTATAAACAACAACAATTTAAATTTGAATTTTATTAAATTTATTTAGATTAACATATTATACAATATAACTATATTATTGCTTTGAAAAATATTCTAAACCAAACCCACCTTAAGAATTATTCAATTACTCTTTGAGAAATAATTTATCTTTTGATTTGAAGTACTCTGTTAAACTAATATTATGGGTTTTATTTTAACTATAATATATAATATAATTATTATACAAATATGATAAATTAATATACTCATTAATTTTCAATACATTTTCCATGTTTCATTATTTCATATTTTTAACAAAAAAAACGAAAAACCATTTAACCAAGTCGAATTACGTTTGTAGTTTTCGATATTAAACTACTTGGGAAACATCGCTATTCTCATACTCATCTTCGAACTCCGGCATGTCGTGTGCAGCTATCACTTTTTTCCTTCCAACAAATCGCTCTCTTTCAAAAGACACTGGTTCACCCAAAAAAGTCATCATCAATTTCGATCTTTCTGGGAAGAACTTGACACGCAAGCAAGTCTCTCCGCCCTTGACGCACTGGGTGTTAAAGAACCCACACTTTCTAAACGCGTTGACAATGGTAACACCAGAAGTCGCTTTGTCCCAAGACGCGTAGATAGAGATTATTTGTTTGGACAAAGGACTTCTGGTGAATTCAACACAATCAGCCTTTGTCAATCTCCCCTCATATAGATCTCTAATGATGTCTTTTTTCTTGCCTTTGGCACTGTTGGCTTCTTCTAAGTTCAAAGTACCCAAAACTTGGTCCAATGATCGTAAATCAATCAATTCGAGACTCAAGTCTTCGTCAACTTGAGGAAGTTGGATAAGTTTCTAATGTTTAGTTTATTATAATTAATGTTTAATAAATTTATAATTTAACACAAAACAAACTTTTTGAACTCCAAACACAGACACATCAAGTGGTTGAGTAATGTGTGAAGAGTGTGGGCACAATTTCAACACAGCCACATGGTTGTCGGTGAACCACTTAGATGCTTCTTCACTGAAATGTGAACCAAGACCATCCATCACCACCACTGCCCACTCGTCCTTGTTATTTGCTCTTCTTTTGTTTAGTTCTGGTAGAAGAACATTCTTCTGCCAATAAACAAAGATGTCTTTGGTCATGAAAGCCTTTGGTTGGTAACAAATGGTTATTTGGTCAAGAGGGAGGTACTTTTCAATGTCAAAGTTTATTGTTTTTCTGGACACAATAAATAGTGGCTTGAGCTTGGTGTTGTCACCCCAAATCCCACCAACCAAAGTCACTCTCCTCACACTTCGGTCAACCGGAAAGAACATTTTAAGAGGCTGCGACTTGTTACAATAAGTATTCTTTTTCTTGGTGTCAACAAAAGGAATGAACCCACTCTCGTCAATGTTGATAATAAAACGTGGATCAACACCAACTAAACGTTGTTCATTGCGGCAGTATTGGTGTTCGTTGTTGAGTAAACGTTTTCCACGTTCAATGTATTCTCTCAACAACTCGGGATTAAGTAGAGCTCTTTCACTTTCCATTGGAGAAATCTTGATGGGTCGTATTTCCGTATTATGTCTGACCCAATCGAGTGACTGCTTTTTGCTCAACTCTGAAACACATTTCGAACCGACCAACTTACAAATTGCAGCAGAGTCCATTGGTCTTGTGGTGTTTTGTTTGTCAATATTTTCCTTGACAATATCTCCTTTGCATCTTCAGTAATTAATGGAGCTCTTCCTGTTGGTTTTTGGACTTCGGGCTTTTTAGCGAGTCCTTTACACGTTTCATAATTACGTCCAAGTACTTTTGATATTGATGCCATTGAAAATGTTGTATTGGCATCTTTAATGAAAATAATTTGTTCTCTTAAATCCTTTTTGTTTAATATTTCGGGTTCATTTTCTTTACAAAAAGTTATGATTTTATCATTTTTAATTGGATCAATAACTGTATAACACATTTTTTGATTGGTTCTGATCTATGGTAAGGCCTTTTCATAATCAATGAATGTTGTTATTAGATTTGGGAAAAGCAAAATAAATGAAATATTGTTCAAAAATGCTTTGTACATTTTATATTTTTAATTTGTTTGTGTTTAAGTTGTAATATTTTGGTTTTATAATTGGGTTGTTTATTTTGTAAAAAAAACGGGAAAATTCAACAATTATCATTAAAAAAATTGTTTATTTTATGTCAAAATTACATGGTTTAAAATTTTAATTGAATTTTTAAAAATCCTTAAATCGTTATAATTGTTGTTTGTATCTTGAATGTTTGTAACTGAACTATAGTTCTTTTTAAAGTGTGTTTATTCAGCACAATATTTTTAAAGTTTTGATATTAAATTGTGATTAAACATCGACAGGTGGTAAAAACAAATATGGTCTCAAAAGTACCAATTGTCGATTACTTTATTTAATTCTGTGTAATAAAAACAAGTGATATATCAATAACGATGTAATTATATGAACGTATCTAACGCTAAATTTTTAAATTTATTTAAATGTCGTGTATGTGAGATATGTATGTTCAAATACATATCCTTTGAAAAAGATATTTGCTTTTTTGGGGGATATCTCAGTTTTTTCGATTTGTTATTAACTATTAAATAGAATTTGTCTTGGATTAAACTTGAAACACAATAAAACTTATTACATCAAATTATTATAAATTAATTATATAAAATTATTATTTAAAACTTGTTTTTTTAATATAGTCTTTTTATTTTTTTTAAAGAGTAAATAATTGCAATCAACATAAAGAAAAATAGTAAAACTTGAATCAACACGATTCCGAAATCACACAAAAACACCGTTTTTATTGAATTTATTTTATAAATAAAAAAGAAAGTTCTTTTGAGTAAAAAGAATCGAAAAGAATTATGGTGTGGCTTTCTCCCCTGGTGTTACTTTTTCCCCACTCTTTATATATTTTATATAAAATTTAAAATTTTATTTAAATATCAAGTTCTAAATAATATTACAGGTCGGTATGAAACCCCTATAGTTTTTAAAAACCCCTCAAGTCGTCAATTGATTGGTCGAAACCAGAAAAAAAAATATTTTATATTTAGAAACAACATTTTCGGATGAAGATTGTAAGCCAACTTCACAAACGCATTGTTGAAACATGTTCTCCGATGTCACTTCTTGTGGTTTTACACGAGACTCGACTCGTTATGATCATGTATTGAACAGTTATAAACAAATGTAGTTTTTTATGGTTTTTATTTTTGAATATTTTGTTATTGTTTTTGTCCAATTTTAAATCGTACTTCTTCTTTTTTGATATGGCATATATTAATGAAATTTATAACATTTGCTAAACACCAAACTGTCCCCCTTGTGTATTGTAACTTGATATTTAATTGAAAAAGCATTTTTTGACATTTGAACAAATATTGTTAATTTTATTGTGGATTCAGACCTCAGTCAACAGCCTTCAATCGAAAACGTTACATTGAAAATAAAACACTTTGAAGATATGTTACTAAAAATATTTATTTGGCTATCTTTTTATTTTTATTTTTTTTAATAATTCAATAATACTCTTATTAACATTATGTTGTTTCAACAATAAAACAGAATATAAAATGACACACAACATTAGATAAAAACATAACACAATTATGGATTATTGTAGTTGTTATAATTTTTAAATTTGAAAAATAGAATTCTTAACCACAACCAGGCGTTTTCCAAAATTCACACAGTGAATGCCGAATCCCAAAAATGCTTCAGTCTTATTTTATAGAATTTTG